TTAACAACTTGCAGGCTTGCGCTGATGATGCATCAAAACCGAAACTCTCTTGGCGTGCTTCATGACTGCGCCACGCTCGCTACTTCCCAACCTCGTTGTCACGCCACTTCTGCAAGACGTCGCTGTAAAATTGCCAGTAAACGCACAAAAACGACATCGATATCAACGTTAAGTCTGGTAACATGTATTTTTGCCGAATCTTTGCCGAATCCTTAGAAAAGTTTGGCAAAAGTTCGGCATTGCCGAATCCCAAGATTCGGCGCCGAACTTTCGATTCGGCAGAAGTTCGGCCTATCACTATAAGGAACAAAGCAGCATAGGAAGAGTGCCCTTCAAACGACAATAATAATAGTTATTAAAAGCTGCCGGACCTCCGCTGGAAACTTTGAGGCACGGTAAAGTAGTCGTCGCGATAAAAAATCCAAAGAAACAAAATGAATAGCCTAACGGTCGTCGCCGGCGTCATGAGGCCTCGCCGAGTGCGGAGTATAACGGTCTTGCAGTGCGGTATATATTGTGCATTCTTACTTTTCATTGAGACTACGTCGAATTCTGACGCCAAGACTCCCTCCCTCCTTCGTTCCAACGCGTTGTTTGTTATTGAATTAACAAATCAGCTTCAAATAAGTGTCGTGGCATCCTCAAGGGTAAAGAAACAAAAAAGGAAACAAACAAGGAACATCGTGAGCAACACCTGTCATCAAAGAACACGCCGCTCCAGAACGGCTTCCTTCTTATTTTTACTTTTTTTTATTCACTTTGTTACTTCATTTTCTTGTTGTTGGGTCCGACTGTTCTCTTCTTTGTAACGATGCCGACTGTGGCAACCGTTCTGGTCATACGATTGGCGCTTGTTTTCTCACGCGATGGTGTGGTCCGACCGATTAACCAATTAGTTTGCTAGAATGGTGTCACGAGGTATAAAATGGCGGATCAAATAACAATAATAGATGCGAAGCGTGCAGTTCTGCTTGTTTAGCCCCCTCGGCGCTTTATTTTTCCAGAGGCGAGCATCACAGTGCCATGGCGTTTAACTTGTGCCGTCTTCATGACGCCATGAAAGACCCTCTCGAAGCAATTAACTTGCTTCAGGGCATGGGCCTGGTTTTGGGTTCTTGTGCATGCCCAGTGCGAAGCTGCGATGATGCTGCAAGTCCGCGCTAGATCTGCGGTTGGCTACTCGTGGAGGTAGGGTGTGTGGATGACTCGTGAGGTGCCTAAGAAGAAGCCGGTCAAGGTTCAGTGCCGGGGCGAGGTCTCGGTACGGAGCGGTTACTTTTTCGAGGGATCACTGGGATCGCACCTGACGCTTCCCCAACTCAGGAAAATCATCTACCTCTGGTGCCAGAACCTACCGTTCGCCGTCATATCAGCGGGAGACTGATGTCGCAAGTAAAACAATAACTGATTGGACGAGCCTTCGTCGGGAGGTTGTGGAAAATGCAGTCTTTACGCATTCAGAGATGATTGGCGGCGAAGGCGTGACTGTAGAACTAGACGAGAGCAGGGGCGGATTTAGAGGGGGGATCCGGATGTCCTGCCCCCCCCCCCCTCCAGAAATTCCTGCATTCGGCCCTGGACGAGAATATGTTCGGGCGGCGAAAATACCATCGCGGGTATTTAAGGCCTGACCAGTGGGTTTTCGGCGGTGTCGAGCCTGGCAGCAGGTGCTGCTTTCTTGTTCCCGTGGAGACCCGTGACGCTAAAACCCTGCAAGGGCTAATAGCCGAGTGGGTCCGCCCTGGGAAAAGAATAATCACTGACTGTTGGGCTGGCTATCGCAAGCTTGCAGATGACGGTCGCTTCTCGCACCTCACCGTCAACCAGAAACTGCAATTTGTCAACCCAAACAATGGTGCGCACACCAATACGGTGGAGGGCACCTGGGCCCACGTCAAAAACTCCATTCCATCTGGACGGTGCCAGACCCAGCATTTCACTGGTCACCTTGCAAAGTTCATGTTTTGTAGGAGAGAGAAGGCGCGCGGAAACACTGATAGATTCCAGTCTTTCGTCGCCGCGGCCGCCATAATCTACAGCCCTGACGCAGACGGGGACCTTCCCTATAGACCAGTGTCCGCGCCAATTCCAAGGCGCCGCCATGTTTATCTACGCTCACGCCACCACGCGGAAAGAACTGGCAGGCAGGAAAAGAGGGGGGGGGGGGGGGGGGGGGGGGGGGGCTGCGTTGGCGGCGTTGCTTTGGGGAGCTGGATGCGGCAGGCTGTCCGAATGCACCGACACATCGTGAAAGATGTCTTCACCAGAAGCCTCCGCGGCCCGTTCTTCAACAGATAAGATGTCGTGAACATTTGAGAACCCATCTCGATCAAGGAAACAAGGGAAAACCTTTCTTGTCTTAGATGTTCTCTGTGTCTGCTGACCCTTGACATCCGCGTTTCAGTCCGGGTTTATTGCGTAGTAAATATTTTGCCACCGCTTTCTTGTAGCTTTCAAATGCTTGATTGTTGGCTTCTTATATACGACATTACATTCGTGGCACGTTTGCGACCGATTTTCGCGATTTGCTTGCCTTTCTGCGGCAGCGCGGCTCTACCGAGCCGAAATAAGTGGGAGGCGTTCACTTGATCGAACGACGTTTTAGCGAATGAAAAAGACCACGACGTTTCATCGAATGACTAGCGAATGGGTCTAGTTACATAGACAGCTCGGATTAGCTTTCTTTTGTAATGTGCCGCCTTGTCTGCCGCCGCGAAGCGGCATAAACGAGGGCTCCGAGTATGTTAACACGCGCCCCCCCCCCCCCCCCCCCCCACACACACACAACCACACGCTGCGAGCGTCTGGGTTCGAAACTATTAATTGCCAGTTCTAAAGAAAGGTACTTACTTGAAGTGGGAGCTGGAATTCTACGAGGTACCAGGAGACACTTACTATCGGGCAACGAAGCAGGGTGCCTGTGGGGGCGGAGTCTAGGAACGCTACTGATTAATATTGTGACAGGCGATCAGTTATGATAACAGACGAAACTTCGACTCGTTTGTTCAGAAGTTCGCAGTGATATATTATTAGCCCTCGTTACAACACACCAGAGATCTTAGGCAGTGAAATTCACATCACGCAGGCTCGTCCGTCGTAGTCAAATGAGCGCAGTCGACGACGAGGTGTAATGAGCTACTAAGCTTCACAAGGAAATGCGCGTGAGAAAGAGTTTTGAGGCAGTCCAAAACACCGATCCAGCAGACGCACGTACGTACGTTTACTCCGGACTCCATGAACCCGACGGCGCAAGATCAAAGCGATCAAAGAGCACCGCCGCCATCGCCACCCAGTTTTCACTGCACTTTGCGCGACAACAGCACTGCAACGGAGGGCACTCGCCTCGGCGTTAACAATCCGCGAAATAGATTAATTTCCCACTCTTGAAGCCATTCCAGATGATAAATGAAAATACCTCGGCGTTGTAGAACATCTGACGACACAACTGTGCCGAGCGCCTGCTCGGCATCGTCGTTGCTCGTGAAGGCCAGCTTATTTATAGTTGAGACGATGGTTCCACATTTTTCGCGCCACTCGTGGTGCTTGCAATAACTTCGAAGGGCAGGGGAATCTTCTCGCGAGGACGTTGAAGACACGCAACACCGGAGCCACCAAAGCAATCGCACAAACCGTCGTCATGTTTGCTGTTGCTTCGTCACTCGCGGCGCGGTCAACTCGTCGCGCGATGTTTTCTGTCTCGGCTAGATGGAAACCAACAGCGGCAAAGTGACGTATGGACAAACGGCTCTCACATTACGGGCACTATACTTCATTTCAGCTTCGGTCCAGACGCAGCCGATGCTACAAGCGCGAGCATGTGGCCTAGAACAGTGCTTGCACTGCACGAGCGCGCGTGCTTGGCAGGGATGCTGAAAGCCCGGAGCTCGCGCATTAGCTTTGGTTGCGTCTGGACCGAAGCTGAAACGAAGTATATACTCACATACCGCGGTAAACAGGACCGATGCCGGCGAAACGGCAGTCGGCACACCAGCGAAGAAGCCCGCGGCGGGAAGCAGCGGCGCAGGCCGACGCAGCCCCCCCCCCCCCCCCCCCCTTCCCCCCCGTGAGCGTCTGGGCATAGAGAAATATGGTACTACGTAAAGAGTGGCCACTCAAGCTATTTCGCGGCCCAGGGGTTATGGACTCTACTGGCCGTTAAGAGGCGCAACAGGGCCACTATTCCTGAACATTTGGCAGATATAAAAAATTAATAAATATTTTTTTTTGTATAGAGTAAACTTTAAAAATTATTACGAACTTTGAAAACTTTCAAAAACGACTTCAACGGCGTTGGCTATGGCTGCGGCGCGACTGTTGGCTTCGGAGTCGTGGACTCGACGGAGGGCGGATACTTCGGCTGCTGCTTGGCCTGGGTGTTCTGGGTCTCTTGCCTCGTTGTGTGGGTTGAGTTGGTTCCGCGGGTTCCGCGACTTGTTGTCTCGTGCGGGTTTCTAGTCATTCTTCCGTTGCGGTGAAGTGAGATATTTTGTTCAACCCGTATTTTGTTTGTTTTTGTGGGGTTTGGAGTGTGTTTGTTTGCAAGCGGCGTAGTACGCCGACCCATGGTACCGGCTTTTTCTACTTTGAGCTGTTTGGAGCTGGCGAGCAGTACAACGATGTCAAATTAAAAATATGCGTGATTTCAAACATCTGACTGCCGCCATGGCTCCATTTGTTTTCTCAAGCTCGTTTAACTGCAAGCCTGCCAAAGTTAGGTTTACACGGTTGCGAGAATTGAGCATTGGACGCTGACTTGCTGAAAGCGAGATATTAACGTGCGGTATACAAGTAAGGGTTTTAGGTTGTTAAAGTGTGCATATGTTAACCTCGAGTGTACCGTTGTACTTTCTTGCATCACGGCCCCACAATGCTAACTAGACCACAGTTTATGGTCGAAAGAAGAAATTTTTTTCCCAAAAGTTTAGAAAGTATAGGTACCAGTTTTTATAATTTTACGGTAACAAGTGTTTTAAATTTTTTGTATAGCTCTTGTCACCGGGATGTTTGGTTACGGCGGCTACTGCTGCGTAGCCTGGTGTAGAAACAATGGAAGAACGCGAAAGAAGCCAGGAACGAAGTTTTTTCGGATTCCCCGGGACGACAGGTGATAAAGTCTCCTTTTGTGTTTGTTTTAACAGCGTACTGAGTGCACAGTTCACCTATGAAAGTGTATGGGCGAGAAAACATAATGTTTGATCAAATCTCGTTTTATGACTGCAAAAAGCTTTTTATCTGTTCGTAACGAAGGCGACTGGAAACTTTCCACTTCGCCCTAAGTACTGTGTAGTGAATAATCGTGGAGAGTGATCTTGACTAAATTTTGGTTGCCAAGTAGCGAATTGCACGAAAAATTATACATTTTGTAGGACTCGATTGAGATTGTGCTAAAGAGTCGATTATTTGTTTTATATACGTGTTGAAACATCATAATTCATGCAAAAGCTGTAAAGCACTAGCTTGCGAGAAAAACACTGTTTTCTGGCATAGGAAAAGTTTACTTGGGCCAGTTCGTCAACACCGACTTAGTACTCAATACTCCATTGGTCTCGTGGTAATAATAGTGATTGGGTTACTACTTTTGTGTTTGCAGCCTTCCGCAACTCTTGAGCTATCGGAAATATGATGTATGTGCGCGTTTATACTACTGGAATGCTTTCAGGCAATATTTTTGCACTTATCAATCTCAAGTGGCACCAAAATATATAGATCACCGTTGCCAGGCAGCTCTATGTTTGACCGAGGCGCCCCTTTTACAATAGTGAACAACAATACATGTTGCAGGTCGAAGGCCTGGCTCCAGTATGCGAACAGGGACGACCTTCTGGGTAAACAAGCGACTGAGCTGTTCATGAAGTATCGCATCTGTAGCGATCACTTCTTAGCACGAGACTTCATGGATTCTGCAAAAACGAGGCTGACAAGAACGGCAGTGCCTTCTGTTCACTCCGAGGCACAGTACAAGGTAATGCTTTGTTTATCTCTCCAAGCACGTGAAGTGTATTAATAGGGGTGTATTTCGTTTGTGGACATTAGTGCTTCCATTGCTTCAAAACGTAGCACCAGTTTTTAGGCGCAAAAACCTGTGTCTAATCGACAAACTTTTCCAGGCCATAAGGAGGCGACCACTTTTGGCGGCACACCCTCCACCAGCTGCCCCTTGGCGTCTTCAATGGGTGCCCATGGTAAGAGAGACCTTCATTTGGAGACAACAAGTATCTAATCGACAAACTCTTGCAGACCACATGAAGGCGACCACTCCTAGCAACACGCCCTCCACCAGCTGCCCCTTGGCTTCTCCAATGGGCGCCCACGGTAAGAGAGACCTTCATTTGGAAACAAGTGTCTAATCGATAAACTATTGCAGACCACATGGAGGCGACCACTCCTGGCAGCACACCCTCCACCAGCTGCCCCTTGGCTTCTTCAATGGTTGCCCATGGTATGAGAGACCTTCATTTGGAAACAACAAGTATCTAATCGACAAACTATTGCAGACCACATGGAGGCGACCACTCCTGGCAGCACACCTTCCACCAGCTGCCCCTTGGCTTCTTCAATGGGCGCCCACGGTAAGAGAGACCTTCATTTGGAAACAAGTATCTAATTGATAAACTATTGCAGTCCACATGGAGGCGACCACTCCTGGCAGCACACCCTCCACCAGCTGCCCCCTGGCGTCTTCAATGGGTGCCCATGGTAAGAGATACCTTCGTTTGGAGACAACAAGTATCTAATCGACAAACTATTGCAGACCCCATGAAGGCGACCACTCCTAGCAACACGCCCTCCACCAGCTGCCCCTTGGCTTCTTCAACGGGTGCCCATGGTATGAGAGACCTTCATTTCGAAACATCAAGTATCTAATCGACAAACTCTTGCAGACCACATGGAGGCGACCACTCCTGCAGCGCGCCCTCCACCGGCTGCCCCTTGGCTTCTTCAATGGTTGGTCATGGTAAGAGAGACCTTCATTTGGAAACAACAAGTATCAAATCGACAAACACCTGCAGACCACATGGAGGCGAACACTTCTGGCGGCACACCCTCCACCAGATGCCCCTTGGCGTCTTCGATGGGTGCCCATGGTAAGAGAGACCTTGATTTGGAGACAACAAGTATCTAATTGACAAACTCTTGCAGACCACATGAAGGCGACCACTCCTAGCAACACGCCCTCCACCGGCTGCCCCTTGGCTTCTTCAATGGTTGGTCATGGTAAGAGAGACCTTCATTTGGAAACAACAAGTATCTAATCGACAAACACCTGCAGACCACATGGAGGCGAACACTTCTGGCGGCACACCCTCCACCAGCTGCCCCTTGGCGTCTTCGATGGGTGCCCATGGTAAGAGAGACCTTCATTTGGAGACAACAAGTATCTAATTGACAAACTCTTGCAGACCACATGAAGGCGACCACTCCTAGCAACACGCCCTCCACCAGCTGCCTCTTGGTTTCTTCAACGGGTGCCCATGGTATGAGAGGCCTTAATTTGGAAACAACAAGTATCTAATCGACAAACTCCAGCAGACCACATGGAGGCGACCACTCCTGGCAGCGCGCCCTCCCCCGGCTGCTCCTTGGCTTCTTCAATGGGCGCCCATGATAAGAGAAACCTTCATTTGGAAACAACAAGTATCTAATCGGCAAACTCCTGCAGACCACATGGAGGTGACCACTCCTGGCAGCGCGCCCTCCACCGGCTGCCCCTTGGCTTCTTCAACGGGTGCCCATGGTAAGAGAGACCTTCAGTTAGAATCTAAAAGTATTGCATGTACGTTTTTTGCCATCATTGAGTGTAAATATTGCCTTCCTTGTGGTTTGCAAATGTATTTTTTATGGTTGAGTATGTTTTAATCTTCTTTATGGAAGATTAAAACGTACTCAATTTATTTAGCATATCATTAACGACAAGTTCGTCATGGATTTTAATTATTTGTAGTTTAAGGGCAGATCATCTATAACCCTTAGATTACGTCGGTATCAAGTACATTTGATTGTGTTCATCATGTAAGCATGTCTGCTTTGCTAACTCACTAATTTGTATTTTCTGCTTCTGATTTTTCAAGAACTTCAGCGCCTTCTGTCTGGAATAGTGCAATATAATCCAAGGACACTATAAGGCGTCTGCAGGCCAAAGTTTCCAAGTATAGGAAGGCCCTCGCAAGATTGCGCAAGCAGCAGCAGAAGGCGCCTCGGACAACTTCAGAAGCTCTCAACATGGTTCGCCCTCACGTCAGCGAGGAGGTATTCCAGCTGCTGTCGAGCCATGTTAAGCTGAGGTTGAAGGGCAAGGGAAAGCGATTTCCGCTTTGGCTTAAAAAGCTTGCCCTGTACTTGAACTTTCGTGGTCCACGGGCATACCGTTTGTTGTCTTCCTATTTTACTCTTCCGTCTCCGCGATCACTAAGAAGATGGTTGTCTAATGTTAATATGACACCCGGAATCATTCCTGGAATTATGTCTTTCATTTTGACAAGGACGCGGTCTTGGAATAAGCGCGACCGTGTCTGCACTCTCATCTTCGATAAGATTGTGCTGAAGAAAAACCTGTCCTATGACGCGGCACAGGACGTTGTGCTCGGATTTATGGATGATGGCAGCGAACGAACTTCTATTGCCGACAGGGCGATGGTTGTCCTTCTGTCGGGGATTTCTAGAAAGTGGGTACAACCAGTCGCCTATACCATTGGGCACACGTCGACGCCATCTTCCGTAATCCGCAACTTACTGTTCTCACTGATTGAGCAGCTAAAAGGCATTGGAATCACAGTTAAAGCTGTGATCTGTGACCAAGGTGCTTCAAACGTAAGCTTAGCCAGTCAGCTGGGTGTTTCTATAGCACAGCCTTTTTTTTACCGTAAACAATGAACGTGTTTACTTCATTTTCGATGCGCCTCATTTAATAAAAACAACTCGCAATAATGTGCAATCGCACAGGCTTCACATCGGAAACGAGGTTGTTGACTGGGCACACATAGTAAAGCTGTACTACTCCATAGATGAGATGAGACTACGACTGGCCCCAAAACTAACCGACCGACATTTTTTCAGAAACCGTTTAACAATATGAAGGTTGCGCGGGCCACACAGGTCCTAAATGGCTCGGTGTGTCTCGCACTTTTATCTCTTGTTTACGCAAAAGAGCTCCCCGATTCAGCCTGATCCACAGCATATTTTTGCGATAGAATGGATAAGCTTTTCGACTGCTTGAATAGCTGTTGTCCGAAGAAAACTGAACAAAAGTTGCGATATGCAATTGGCAAAGGGAAATCGGAGTTAATTGAGTTTCTTGAACAACAACTCCCATGGATTGCGGCCTGGAAGTTCGAGGGCAGGAGTCAGCCACATACCATCATAGGGTGGGAAATAACTATTAAAGCTATCCTCCTGCTCTGGGAAGACATTTCAAAAAATTTTGACTTCGAGTTTTTACTCACGCGGCGACTGCAACAAGACCCGCTGGAAAATATGTTTGGGCACATCCGTCAAAGGCAGGGTTGCAACATGAACCCCAATGTGTCCCAGTTCATCTCCGGGCTCAAGCACATTGGGATAGGCAAGCTTTTTATTCTTTCAGATAAGGGGAATGTGGAGGATGATGAGGCAGACCTCCTTCAGGAGCAGTCGCCATTTTCTCTTCGTGCAGCATCACTTGCAGATGTTGTGGAAGTTGTCCCCCCAGACGACTTTCCTTCTTTGGACAACATCTCTGAATTGGCGTCACACCAGAGTTCCCATGTTATTGACGACTCTGCCACCTATTATGTTTCTGGATTTCTCATCAAATTGTTCACTGAGAAGTCTGCAGAAGGCTGTCGTTGTTGCGAGTTGCTTAGGAACAAAGAGGATGCCTTCAACAGGCCCCACCAGTATTTTACCATGCTTAAGGCATATCATGTTCCAGGAAAACTCTTTGGTAACCTCACTGTGCCATCGGACGCAGCTTTCACGTTGGTTCAGGAGCTCGAGTGTCACTTTCTTTCCATCATTGAAAGTGTAGCCCATCTTTCAAACGTGTGTGATGTCTTGTTCCGAAATCTCTCATGCATTGGACATTTTAAATTTTGTACTGCGGAGCGCCGCGTGCGTTTTTTAAAAATGTTTTGTAGGGTTCGTTTATGTTGGCATGTGCGTTTTGTGAATAGAAACTTAGACAAGGCTCGTTTTTAATCTTGCTCATCGCGTGCACAGCTTAACAAGTTCAAGGGGTAAAGCTTACCTCATATTTGAGATACGTGTTGAAGCCTTAATGCTGCTTTTTTGAGATATCTGTTGTTTATACAAGCGCTAAGTGGTATTAATTCGGGAGTGCAGGGTGCACCCCAAGAATTTCTTAAAACTGTTTGTAACTGTTTCTTTAATTGTGAATTAATGGATTGTGAAAGACCTTTTCATTTTTATAGTGTGACAGTTCTTATTGCTTATGATCATGATTCCTAATTTACACAGAAGTGAAGCTTATTGAAAAGGGAGATGTATTTGATTGGGTGGTGCAGAGTTCATGCCAAGCATTTCTTGTGATTATTTTTGATGAGTCGGTCTCAGACCCAGTGTGCTAATGACAGTCATTTCTAACACATGTTGTTTTTTTGCATCATGGTCATATTGAATGGAAGAGTTCTCGTTACCATACTCTATTAGCATAGGCCATTGAATTGCTTTTGTTAGGCCGTCCATTGGCTTCCATTTCTTGCTATTTTGATCTTAATCATTGGTTTAGTCAGCAAGAGTAAGATATGTTTATTTGAGCAGTGCATATCGCATTCCTGGCACCTGTTGGGGTCATTATGTATGACTATGTCAATAGTCTATACTATTTGCATCCTCCTTTAGACATTCAGTTGTTTATTTTTCTCATGACGGTCATGGTATACGTAAGAAGTATTGTGACTGTAGTTTCTTTGTTGACGGACATTTGCATTCGGTCACTGAATTTAGAAGCCACTGGGCCAGATTGTTCTTTTATTGTTGCTGTATTAGTCGCATGGTCATATGTGCAAGCGCCTTTCATGAAACTTGGACTATAATTTCTTTAACTGCCCTCCATCATATTGCATTTCTCGCTGTGAGGCTCGCAGTAATACAGCACTTTTTTTCCAGTGTTGCACTGTTGACACGTTATTCATACATTTTGCATATGTATTCTTATTTTTGTAATGTATGAATGACATACATCACTCACTGACAATTGTTTTGCTTGTCATAGTTACAAGAATAAAAACTTTTGTGGTCAATCCCTGGTGTCGTCCCTCCTCCCTTCAAGCACAAATCGGAAAAAACCCTTTTCGGTGTGCGGTCAGTTTGAATTATATATAGCGCTGGATGACTTTCTTCTGCAGTACAATTAAGGTATACTTATAAAACAATTCTATTTAAACAAAAAGCACGCTAGTTACAATAACACTGACTCGTTTAACTAAAGGGCGCAAGCTACTGCCCGATAAAAATACTGTCAGAATTCGCCTTGAATCCATTCATTCATCTGGCCTGTGGGGTATACGTGTATCCACCCATTCAACACTCAACTAGGGACTATGCCGGCCGCTAGGTGCGCTCGCTGACACTGAATTGGGCCGCTGGGGCCTATGGAAGTGTCCGCTCTTTACGTAGTACTATATTTCTCTATGGTCTGGGTTCGAGATTATTGTTCGATTTTGCTCCTTGCGGTCGAAGCTAAAAAGAGCACCACCACGATTCTGACGGCCCCGGTGACTTCGAGTGATCCGCTGTGCTGAGCCCGTCGCCCGCCTGCGTTGCAGTCGTCCCGCGGTGCTGTTGCTTGCTCTATCGCCGTTGGGGTGTCTCAGCTTCGTCGTCTTTGCCAGCGGCGCACCGGCGGAGGCGGTTGATCTGACGCACCG